ATATATATTTGGATAAACTGAGGCAAGATTGTAAAGCAACTTTCTCAAGGTCTTAAAAGTAAATTTTGTCAAGATTTGATTCAGAAAACTCCCTATAGTGGGAATGAATCTGGCTTTGATATTCAGAGTTGTATATTTTTACAGGGTGAAGTATATTTGTTAGTTGCATAAAAAGGAAGGAGAATCTGAAACCACACACTTCCAGTGGAGAAAAAAGATCAATTCATTGGGATGTTTTCTGCTCTTTTTCAGGTTAATGGTAAAGTAACAGAAGAGAAGCTAGCAGCTTACACCTATACGCCTGAAGCCATTTATGGAGCTTCCCATTTATATATCTTACCGACTCACAGACTGCTGCATGGGAATAGCAGTCTCAAGGAAGTCTTTCAGAGGGAGTTCATCCCAGGGAAAGGTGATATTTTTCTCATACTGCATTTTGTTGTAGGGGAGTAACAATTTTAGAGAATGATGTTCAGAGAATGTGTGTCAAGCTGAGCATGAGCTGTTCCTGTTGAGGGAACAGGTCTTTTGATTCTTTATATATGTCAAAGATTATCACATCAGCCTGTCCTGGCTTCAGATACAGTAACAGCAGCTACCTTAGAATTCTTCCTTTTATAATGCCTGTAAAACTTCATAGTATATAAAAGCAATGGAACAGATTCTTGTCTCCTCATGTATCACAAGTGAACAGTCCAACTCTGATAATGTCAGCCCATTGGAGAATCTCATGGCTATATGGTAATTCAGCCATGGTAGCACAAAGACATCAGAACCAACTCTTGCACCAACGATGATTTCTTCCTGTCGTAGGGAATATAAGGAGGCCAAGTGATCATTAATACATAGCAAAGTGGATCACTGATAGCAAAAAAATACTCTGCTGTGCAGATCCTTAGTTAATGCAAGATTCTAATGGAGTAAATTCAGAGTAGCCTTATGGCAGGTCCTGACTTGTACAGAGGACAAAAATTAGAGATAATTCTTTAATTGGTGTTGATTGGATTCCTGAAGGCTCCTACCACCATTTCTGCCTTTATTTAGCATCCCTGGTCTACTATTTTTTTGCTGTTTGGAAAACCTAAAAATTGTAAGAGTAAATACAAAGTTTACTGAATATTTTTTGTTTCCACTTCAAGCTGGTGTTCAATATTTACTTTTTTCTTACTGGTAAATGTGTGGCTTCATTGTCTGTGTAACATCTGATGTCAAGAGCAATGAAGCAGGAATCTTGTGGAAAATTGTGGCGGTTGAACAGAACCTGCTTTATTTTTGAGTGCTTAATTTCTATAACCTTAATGAAGTTCACTTGCTGGCAGAAAAGAAATGGAGTCTGAATGTGTTGAGTATGTAGAGCTCTTGTCTCAGAGCTGAGCAAAGCTTGGAGAATTTTTATTAAGGAATAAAGGAAGAAATTTGCAGTTCTTACAGTTCAGCCAAATCAAAGCACTAACCCCAGAAATGCACATCCATGTACGTGCCTGTATCTTTGTTGGATCTTATGGTTTAAGCCAAACTGCACAGGTGCAAAACTTGTTTTTAATAAGGACTACAATATATTTTTTCTATTTTTTTTAATGTGAAAATACTTGAAAGGCTTTTTTTGTGTCTGTTAACAATAAACTTCACCTTTTTGGTTGAGTTAAATTAAGAAACTCTCATCTGGAATAATGACAGCCATAAGACATTGAAAAAGAGGCTTTCAAGTGGACACAATTCCAGAATCGTAATAACTCTGCTATTGTTGTGTACTCCTGCTACTCAAAAATATACTTATATGCATTCTTCAGTGGAAGTTGGCTGATATTTCTTACTATTTCTTGAGCATTTCAAAGGCACGGACTGGTATTTTCCAAAGAAGAGAAGATAAAGGAGAAGAATTTCTACATGGACTTTCAGATTTACATTTCAGCCATGGTACATATAAAGGGCCAACAATGGTGTTTAAGTAAAAAGACATTTTTGGTAGCCTTGGATTGACCATATTTTCACATTAACCAAGATTTTTTTAAAACATTCACCAGTAACATTAAAATTAAGTGGTTTCTTTTCAGAAGAGATAGTCTTGTAACTGCCTTTCTTCACTGTGTTCTTATTTAAATAATTAGGACGATATGTTTTTATGTTTTCTAGGAAACGTAAAAAAAAGATGTTCTATGGCAGAGTAACTTAAAGTTCTAATACCTTTATTCTTGGAGTACAGCTCTGTATTTTAGGCTATTATTACTTAGAGGTGAGCAACCAGTTTTCAAACTTTTTTTTTTTTAGCTTAGCAAAAATTATGTTAATTTAGAATCTGGTAAGTCTTCTAATTTTGTCAGTGTGAGGCATCTGAGATAAAGATTTGATCCTTACATTGTTCATTATCTCATTATAATACTACTACTGCAATATCATCTCTTTACGGCTATTATAATAATGATGTGAGCAAATGAGCAAAAGAAAGACTGCCTTCATAAACTGGAGTTATTATTTTGAGTTCCAGCATAAAATCAAAATTATTGCTGGGTAGAAGAGAGAAGTTATTTTTAAAAGCAGACTGTCCTACCCACTCAGCATCCTGTTCATGAGGCTTTTTTGAGGCTGTTCATGAGGCTGGTTCCTTTTGTATATTTTTTTTTAAACAGAAGAGGAAAGCAATGTACAGTGGTTTGAATGTAGGAAATTTTATCTAGAATATGGCTCAGAGACCTGAAATTTGAAAAAGTAGTAATCAGAAACAAATAAATATATTGTTTGTGTTAACAAGACTGATGAGATATAGTAGCCCTATTCTCTAAAATGTTGTTATTCTATTTCAAGCAGATTTTATGCGTAGCAATACACGACCGAGACTTTCCTCAGCTTAGCTATGACGATAGGTGAAAGGAAGCTCTTAGCAGTCTGTATTTTAATTATTTTAATTATCTTCAAATTAAAGGCACCAAAAAAAGTTAGAAACAGGTCCAGATAGAGATGTGGGATTTGAATCCTCAAATCTTGGGGTACTTAGGTTTGATTTTTCTTCTTGCTGACCCACCAAAGCCACACATTGTAAATCAATTTCAGTTTATCCCCCTTGATTCTCTCCTCTTCTCTCTCCCCTTCCCTGTGGACATTAGGTTCCTCATCTCTAATATGAATAGGAATACTCTGTTTGGAAATCAATTGGTTATTTAGATTTCTTTTTTTACACTGGTCAATATTTCTCATGCTTTGTAGTTCTTCTGTAAGAAGGCAAAGCATAAGCATATTATATATGCTCCCCTTCCGTTTCGTCTGAATAACTGGATTTTTTTGCTTAATTTTGTAATGTCTGCTGGTATATAACTCAGGGCTTATTAGATCCAATTCATACAACTCTGCAGCACACAGTGGTCAAAGACTCGCTATTGTTTTTCTTATACTCCAAATCTTACTCTGTTTTTATTCAGGTGTTTGTTATAAGTATGTTTTCTAATCATGAGAATTTATCAGTCAGACTTACTGAAGATTTTAATATGTCTGAACTTTTTAGAAATGTGATTAGGTTTTTAATTTTCTTTCTTATTTAAACAAAACTCTAATTTAAATTTCATGTTTAAGATAAACTGACTTTTAAGAGTAAGTAATGTTCTTAGCGTATTTTCTGACATATTTTACTTACTGTGATCATTACATTTGTTTTCAGACTCGCTTACTTCAGTGACAGCTGTGAATTTGCTTACCAGTCAGGAGATTCCTGTAGTCATCTCAGCAAAAACCAATTTTGAGAATTTTCTCGATAGTAAAATCGGTATGTTAGACTTAATGTGTAAGTGAAATAGTACAATTTTCAATTGCTGTGTTGGAGCACCAGATACTGTGGCGGCAAATCTTTGAACACAGTGGCTCTTTTCTGGACTTTGGAATCCTGTTCTTCATTACTGTTCTTCATTAGTGAAGAAGGAGGGGAAAATTAGCAATGTGGAATCTGTCTGGGGAAGAGATTTACAGGATGATAAATTTTAATGGAAATATTATAAAATTAGTAGGCTTAATGAGCTAAATTTGAGAATCTGCTTATCTTAAGAGGATTGATTACCTACAGTGTATGTGTACTTGGCTGTGTCTACCATCCTTAATCAAAACAGAACTGTATCATTGTTTAACATAAACATTTTGCAAACAACCCGAACTTTTAGTCTTCTTTTTGTCTTATGTTTACATAAATTATGTGCATCCTTATAGAGAAATGTTTCAGAGAGTAGATGTACGAAACTTGCAAGTTTGACTTTTATCTGATATTTGTCTTGAGATCAGTAAAATAAATCAGAATGGGTAATAATTCTGTTCAGGTAGTCTTGGACAGTTATCTTGGACCCTTTATCTCTAAAGGAAGTTTTCCCGTAATTTAGGCACCTAATTTAGGATTGAGCATCTGTAAATGGAGGGGGAAGGGCATTGGGCATTGCTAGAGGATACTCTGAATTGCCTAGAGTGGGCTTCTCTTCTCAAAGTCATCCTGTGAAGCAGCTTGTCTTACTCCTTCCCTGCACAGGCAGCCTAGCCCCACAACTTAGGCAGTTAAGTGTGGTTATGGTTAGATAATGTGACTGTCCTTCTAAGTAAAATTAGAAATTGTACTAACTTTTAAAAATTGTGTCCATTTTAATCTGCAAAGTAGCACCCACCCACCTTTTTGTTTACTGTTGTGTTTTGCTGTGGTCTCATCTCAGCAGCAATAAGTAGGCAATGTTCTGTGCCAGTGCTTATAGGAAATAGTTCTTTATCTTTTCTTCCCCCTTTCCACTACATCCTTATCCCTTAAGTCCCTTTTGCTGCCTCCCTGTTGTTGAATCTTCTTTCCTGCCCTGGAGCTACTCCTGTCTTCTCTGCACCACCGCCAGTGTTGGCTGTTCCTATGCAACTGGACTGATCAAAATCAGCTGACACTGCAAAAATGTCTTGGATGACCCTCACAAGGCTGATAGAAATTATTCACTCAGGCTCTATACCTACCTTAGAACATGCCCACATCTTACACTTTAGGAATGAATCTGTTTTTGAGAACCAGAACTTCTGCTCATGTAAAAGAAGCCAAATAATTGAGATACCTAATCATATTTTTCCTTAAAAACTTCCAGCTTGCTCACTGGCACGTACCTTGGCCTTATGTCTGTTGGAAACAGCCCAGCTCTTCCTGGGAAGTTCTGGATACCAGCTGTTGAGCTTTGCGAATGTACATTAATAGCAGCATCTTTTCAAAAGAAGGAAGACTAAAAAGTGGTGCCTGCTTTTTTTCCAGTCGTAGACCATATTGTGAAGCCACCTGTTGCAGGCTGCCAGGCTCTCTGACAAATTAAGATACATACATTATTCTATAATAAGGCCTTGAAATGGCAAGACTCTACATCTGCTGGAAAGATAAAATAGTGATTCCGTATTTTGCTTGTTAGGGAGTTGTCACAGGGCAGTTTTGCTTGGTTTTCTGTAGTTATCTGCTTCCAAACTTCCATATATTGACAGAGTTAATGTATAGGAGGCATTTCATTGCCTGAATGAAGACGATTGTTAAAACTGGTTTTGAATGAAGTAGTTTGTATGTTAATAATTCTAATGTGCTCAGCAATATTTTGAGAGTTTTTGTCTGTAGTTGTCACCAACGTAATGTTGGCACTGGCTTGTTGAAATAAGTTTCTTTGCCTTTTAAAGATGACAGCAATTGTGCAAGATTGTTCAAAATCTTAAATAAATAACCACCGAAAGGGAAAAAATATGCAGGAAGATGTAGCTCCCTGTGGAAATAATAAATCTGTTAGTATCTCAATGTTATTTCAGAATACATATGATAATAAAGTTAAGGAATTTCTTAACTCACCCTGAAAGGTAGTCCTCCAAAGTAGAACAAAATATCTTTCAAAATATATGCAGCAAAATCAGAGGGAAGATGTCATCATCTATTAATATGAGTAAGAAATATTTAAAGATTATGTGTCATTCTATGGTGCCGGTAAATTGCTATAATAAAAAGAAGTCTACATGTTTTAGAAGAGGAACTTGTATTCAAGATGTATGACTGACCCAAATAATAAGATGCCAAGGGAAAGATAGCATCAGGGGCCTTAAATACTGTGACTTCTATAACTGACTTGAACAGTAGTAGGAAGTGCTCTCAGGAGTTATATTCCAAATAGAAAATTGATGTTATTTGAAATGCTTTCCTGAGATTATAAATGAATCATGTATTTCGTAATAAGTTGAAGGGATAGTAATGTTAGAGACCGTTGTGTTGTGGTACATTTTAATAAACTATGAAATTAGAATGAGATTAAATTTACTATTGAATCAAGAGGACTATTTAGGCTGTTTGTCTAGTATTTGTTTCTCATATTAGCAAATAGAATTTAAATTTGTATTATCTAAATATATTATACACTATAATTGTATTGAAACATTTATTATTTATCCAAATTTTGTAGCTTTACTTTTAGGCTTTTTCTGAACCATCTAATTTTCAGCCTTTTCTGTGATGAGACATTGATTAATACTTGGCCTACAAAAAAAGTGCAAAAATGTGTTTGTAATTATTGTTGCTTGAATTTCACTGCTTAAAGAATATTAAAACATTTTTATTGTTCTTAGATTTTTAAATGCCTTTGCCAAACATAAGCCATTATAAAGAGATTGTCATAGAAATAAAATGTTTTATCCTCAAATTGATGATTGATATCCATGTTAGTTAACCCCAGAACTAATTTTTTATTTTTTTTTAATTATTTTTTTTTTACTTTCCTCTGCCCCAGGAATACCTAGTACAAGTGCAGAAGATGCTGCAGTAGCTAAGAATCTGGGCATTTCTTTCACTGAAGTCACTGAAACATTGCCAGATGGTTTGGAGAAAGTAATTAATTCTGGGGAGGTGGGTATACAAGTGTGGAGTTCTTTCCAACTTACAATAACAATGCAAACTAAATCTGTTTTCTCAAGAGTGTCAAATAATTTG